ACGAGGAGGCCATTTTCTGGGCTACAAAGTGTTACAAAGTTTCTCTTTCCGAAAACGCAGAGTTTTTCAGAGAAGGGTTGGTTACAGAGTGTTTCAAGATTTGCAGCTCTTAGAGACAAGCTCTCCGAGAGTTCAGAGGTTTCAGACTGGTTTGCACAGCCTCTGCCTCAACCTTGGTTTAAATAGCCAGGGCCGATCTGCGCATCGCGCGCCACTTGCCGACAGACGACAAAACGGGCGCGCAAGCCAAGGCGCTCACGTGCCTCGCCATCATGTCCGACACACCTTTTTATGGATTGGGCACGCCTTTTGATGGCACACCTTTTGACAGATTGGGCACACCTTTTTGAGGGTGCCACTTTTACAACGGTCCGACATGACCCCATAAACTGTCCCGACATTTGATTCCGGTTAGCATCTCCAACGGTCCGACATGACCCCATAAACTGTCCCGACATTGATTCCGGTTCGCATACAGTGTCCTCTACAACGTTATGACACCACCATATAGTGTCCTCTACCACGTTATGACACCACCATACAGTGTCCTCTACAACGTTATGACACCACCATCCAGTGTCCTCTACCACGTTATGACACCATCATTCAGTGTCTTCACCAACGGTCTGACACGACCATACAGTGTCTCCTATCATCTTTTATTTTTTATGTATTTTATTATTTTGTTCCTCTCTCCAAACTCAAGTTGGTTAGTTTCTATCCTCCTTGAGTTTGCGGGGGGCTGTTAAAATATATTAGTGTTAGTATCTTTAGTATATTATGTACATCTAGTAGTGTTAGTCATAATTGTTAGTGTATCATTATGTCTAGCTTTCATAATGAGTGTTCCCCCTTTGCTTTATGATTTCGGTGCTAATTGGCACCCTATGTATCTTTTCCTCTCTATAAAAGAGAGTGCACATCTCCTTGTAATATATACAATACACATCAATCAATAATATAATTCTCTATTTCTCTTTATACATTGAATTTTAACACTATGTGTGTCTACAGGAAGAGCTTCACCGCCTCAATATTTTCTACTTTTGTTCTACATATAAGCAAATAAGGATGTGCGCCTGTCTAATTCCATGGTGCATCCTATTACATACGGAGCCTTCTCTTCTGGAGATTGGAGTTTTCCCATCTCGTCTTTTGTGTTCTCCCATTCTTTTGTCTTCAAAATATTTATTTTTAAAATCATCTCTTATTTCCCTTTTATGAATCGCATTTCTTGACCTAGATTATCAACAGATTTTACAACCATTAGTTCTAGTGCTGTATTAATTGGATGGCACTCTGCCAAATATGATTAATTTGTTGAATATAGAAATTAGAGTACATAAAATCTTTTTATTTTTAATATTTATGTATATAATTTGTGATTGTGTCAATCACTGATTTAGTATTGTTTCATTATTTATATCGTTTTTTAAATTGTATCATAAATCTATTATATATATATATATATATATATATTTGGCCTCTACCTCATTCATGGGTAAGTCAAATCATTCTTTTCATCTTTTTTGGTATCAGAGCCAGAGCACAGAAACCCTAGTTCTTTGCCCAGCCACCGTCTCATCTTCTTCCTTCCTCCTTGAGTGCCGACGGTCCCCTTCTAGCCCTTTATTTCACCCTTCCAGCCCCACCCAGCCAGCCTAGACCCCCCGAAACCACCTACCCAACCCTCTACACCCCTCAGCAGGTTGCCCTAGTGCTGCTGAGGGTCTTGTTGGCTGCCGACCAGGGTGTTTCCTAGCCATAGATGCTTCGGCAACTCTTCTATGGCAGTTCAGTCCTTTTTTTTTCCCTCTCTAGGGTGTGGTGCTGATGTATTATGCACTTTTTATCATTTTTTAATTTAGTGGACTATCAGATTTATTCAATAGCATTTATTTGGACTAGCTATTGAGTTTTTTTCGGCTTCTTGTATTTTTCTGGACTGTGTTGTTGTGATTTTGTGTTTTCTAGCGCTTATTAATCTACCATGACTAACCCATCCCATGTTGATTCTAATATACCCACCAAACCTGTACCAGTGACTTCTGATTTTTCTTTTTTCATGACACTCCTGTTCATCGCATTACACGTGTGGTGTTGAATGGAAAAAACTTTGCTGCTTGGGGCAGCTCCGTTAAACTCTATTCAAGGGAAAAGGGAAAGGCCCATTGGCTCTCATCTTCTATTCAGCCTGCAGCGACTGATCCTACACGTGCCCAATGGGATATAAATAATTGCACTATTCTAGGATGGATGTTCAACTCCATGGAGGACCATATTTACCACATGTTTCTTTATTACGACACTGTTTCGAGTCTTTGGCATTCCTTGCCTCGGATGTATGCCTATGCTCATAATGATGCTCACATCTTTGAGCTCTATCAAGACATTGCTCGTACCTCCTAGCCTATTTTAGGTCTCTCTGTGTCAAAGGATACCTTCAGGCTCGTTAGGAGAAATTGGCTCAATATGAGCCCTTGACTGAGTTACCAGCAGATGCCGCCGCTCGTGTCCAGCCGTCTTGATCGCCAGCACACTTACCAGTTTTTGATGGGTTTAAACTCTGAATTTAAATCTCTTCGAACTGAGATTTCAAACACATCCCCCATGCCATCCCTCTATGAGGCCTTTGCTGCCATTGATAGTGATGAGCGTGGTCAGCGTTTGGTTCTGCACACCACTACTCCAGTGACTCCTATCTTATCTGACCAAATGGCCCTTGCCGTAAACTCTGGTTCCCAGGGTTCTATTGGTTCAGTTACCTGTCATCATTGTGGGGCTCTTGGTCATGTCAAGGCGCGCTACTTTAAACTTCATCCTAAGTTAAGGCAACAATCTTCTCGCCCTCGTGGTTTTGGCACACCTCGCACTGCTGCTTTAGTGGAGGCCCTTCATGCTTCTAGGTCTCTGAGTATTCCTATTTACAGCAGTCACAGACTCAGATTGGTCAACTTCAAACTCAACTTGGGACTTTGACTACTAGTTCTTCTGGCACATCCTCCTCTACTACTACTACTCTCGCTATAGGCACTTCTACTGCTTTATGTTTGGTCTGCTGGCCCCTCATGGGTTTTGGATTCTGGGGCTAATGATCATACGACGGGTGAGTTTTCCCTTCTTTCATCTCCAGTTCTTACTACTATAGACCAATCTGTTTCTCTTACTGATGGGTCTTTCTCCTCAGTTCATCATAAGGGTCAAGTGTCTTTATCTCCTGATATTACTCTATCCTCTATTTTGCATATTCCTAATTTTGCATATAATCTACTATCCATGAAGCCTGGCATTTTCTAAGTCATTGATCATAATCATATTGAGTCGTAAGCAATACCGTTTTCAAAAATAAAAAATAAAAGGTTGGCAAGATGCACACAAAATCAGAGAATTCTTAAGCAATAAATCATTTATGTCACCTAAATATGTCATATGTTCTAAAACTATTCAGAAATCAGTGGATTCAGTTGAACCCTCTAAGATAAGTGTGGCGTCACCCATGATTCTAATAGAATCATGAAAATTCATTAGTGAGATTCAACCTATAACGCCTGTGTTTTTAAGCCATTGGAAAGTGTATTTAATTTCCTTTTCTTTTGTCATTTGGATCTTTGGGTTGTTGTATCATTGTTTGACAGAGTAAAATTCGAGTTAGACTTGTTTAGATAATTCTTTCGCGCTTGGTTTTGTTAGAAAGTACCTTGGGAGCCCTAACTTTCTTTTCTACACTGCCCTAGTGAGGGTCAACACCTGCTCTTCTTCTTTTCTTTTGCTTTGGTACTGCTTCTTAGTGTCAACACCAGGGCTTCTGGTGTCGACATTGCCAGTCTTGCTTCTTCTTTTTTGCTTTGCCACTGGTTTTTGGTGTCTACACCAGGGCTTCTGGGTGTCGACACCCTGTCTACTGGTTGTGTTATTGTTTCAACACTGTTTCTCAGTGTCGACACCTTTTCGCTTGGTGTCGACGCTTGATAGTATTTTTTTTTCAAAAATTCAGCAGGGGGTTAGGGCCCTACTTTTGGGACTTTTGACTCATTCTTTTTGGTTAGCTCTAAGTTAATGTTCTATTTTTTACCTAGACCATGAATAGGCCCTAACCCACGCTCTCTTTCCTCACTTTTCTTCTCTTCTCTCTCCCTCTCCCTCTCTCTCTCTCTCTCTCTCTCTCTCTCTCTCTATGTTGAAATAAAATACACAGAATATTCTAGAATAGGACCCTTTTTTGTTATGGCCATTGTTTAGGCCTTGATTTTATTTCCTTTTCTATGTTATTTCCTATCTTGTACAATTTCCTAATATTGTACATATTGATGTATATATTCATGGGTGGACCTCAATTGAGATTAAGCCAATTCATTCTTTTATTCTTCTTGGTATCAAAGCCTAAAAAACCCTAGCCACCCTCTTTTCATCTCTCTTTTAACCAACCACCACCGAAACCCCTTTCCAGCCACCATCCACCAGCCAATAGCCTTTCTCCTCCTCTCCTAGCCAGTCAAAAATCCTTCCCAACCCCTGTCCACCAGCCGAAACTCCTTCCCAGCCCCTACCCACCAGCCAACAACCCCTCTTCCTTAACCCTTGACCCTTGGCAGTCCCTAGAAACCCCTGCCGAGGGCTATATGAGTGCCAACCAGTCTCTTATGTGAATAAGACTGGTTTGATTATGTCCCTAGCGTTTTTCATACCCTTTTTCCTTGTTTGGGTGCTCCAAGTGAATGTGTTGAGCATTTTTTTTTCTCCTGTTTGTGGAGTGGGCTACTGGCTTTATTTGGTCGCATTTAATTGGATAGGCCGTTGAGTTTTTTCCGACGTCTTGCTTTCGTTTTTTGGACTGTGTTGCTGTGACTTTGTGTGTCTTTCAAACCTATCATCATGACTGATGAGACACCTCTTGCTGCTCCTACTGCAAAGACCACTAAACTGATTCCCATGAGTTCTGATTTTTCTCTTTCTCACCACTCCTGTTCATCACATTACGAGTGTGGTGTTGAATGAGAAAAATTTTGCTGCTTGGGGCCACTTCCTTAAACTCTATTTAGGGGGAAAGGGAAAGGCCCATTGGCTTTCATTTTTTATTCAGCCTGCTGTGACTAATCCTACATGTCCCCAGAGGGATATAGATAATTGCACTATTCTAGGATGGATGTTCAACTCCATGGAGGATCATATTTACCACATGTTTCTTTATTGCGACACTATTTCGAGTCTTTGGTGTGCCTTGTCTCAGATGTATGCCCATGCTCATAATGATGCTCGTATCTTTGAGCTTTATCAAGACATTGCTCGTGCCTCCCAATCTGCTTTGGGTATCTCTATGTTAGAGTTCTTTGGATACCTTCAGGCTCATTGGGAGGAATTGGCTCAATATGAGCCCTTGACTGAGTTACCAGTAGACGCTGCCGTTCTTGCGTCCAATCGCCTTGCCTGCCAGCACACTTATTAGTTTTTGATGGATTTAAACTCTGAATTTGAATCTCTTTGAACTCAAATTTTAAACACATCGCCCATGCCATTCCTTTATGAGGCCTTTGCCACCATTAATAGTGATGAACGTCGTTGACGTCTGGTTCTGCACACCACTACTCCAGTGACTCCTGTTTTATCTGACCATATGGCCCTTTCCGCAAACTCTAGTTCCTGGGGTTCTACTGGTTCAGTTACCTATCATCGTTGTGGGGCTCCTCATCATGTTAGGGCTCACTGCTTCAAATTTCATCCTGAGATGAGGCAATGATCTTCTCTCGCCCTCATGGCTCTGGCACACCTCGCACTGCTGCTTTAGTGGAGGCCTCTCAAGCTTCTGGGTCTTCGAGTATTCCTATTTTACAGCAGTTACAGACTCAGATTGGCCAGCTTTAGACTCAACTTGGGACTTTGACTACTAGTTCTTCTAGCCTATCCTCCTTTACTACTGCTACTCTTGCTACAGGTACTTTTATTGCTTTTCATGTTCGGTATGCTAGTCCCTCGTGGGTTTTGGATTCTAGGACTAATGATCATATGATGGATAAGTTTTCCCTTCTTTCATCTCCAGTTCCTACTACTATAGACCAATCTGTTTGTCTTGCTGATGGGTCTTTCTCCTCAGTTCGTCATAAAGGTCAAATGTCTTTATCTCCTGATATTACTCTATCCTCTGTTTTGCATATAATCTACTATTCGTTAGTCGGCTTGCCAAGTCCTTCGATTGTGCTATTATTTTCTTACCTTCTTCATGTTTGTTACAGGACCTGAGTTCAAAGAGGATTTTTGGCAGGGTATATGAGCGCGATGGACTTTACTACTTTGGGAATCCACCAGACCAACCTCTTTCTCGTTTAGCTAGTTTCCAGGTGTCTGTTTTGCCTGTTTCTATATCTTGTGTTTTTCATGTTCAAACTTTAGAATTATAGCATGCACGTATGGGTCATGCTAATTTTCAATACTTATGTCAACTTTTTCCTTTATTAAATAAAGTTTGCAAAGATTCTAAGTTTCCTTGTGTGGTTTGCGAATTATCTAAACATACTCATACCAATTTTTGACCTTATACATTTTGATGTTTGGAGTCCATCTTCTGTTCCTGCTTTTTCTGGCCATCGATATTATGTCACATTTATTGATGACCACACTAGATGCACTTGGGTATATTTGCTCTGTCGTAAGTTTGGCGTGTTTTTCATTTTTGTTCAATTTTTGCAAATGGTTAAGACTCAGTTTCGTACAGTTGTTAAGAATATTTGTTCTAATAATGGTGGGGAATATATTTCTAATACTTTTTGCTCCCATCTTAATCAGACTAGTATTCTTCAACAACCTACGTGTCCACGGACTCTTGAGCAAAATGGCGTAGCTAAACGTAAAAATCGTGATATTATGTCTGTTGTGCGGTGTCTCCTTTGTGGTATGAGTGTCCCTAAGTCCTATTGGCATATGGCTGTCCTCACCGCTGTCTATCTTATTAATAGGACCCCTAGTCGTGTGTTGCAGCGTCTTACTCCGTTTCATGTTCTTATGCCCCATACTACTCTATTTCCTCTCCTATCCCGTGTCTTTGGGTGTACCTGTTTTGTTTAGGATCGAAGTCCCGCTCGTACCAAGTTAGATGACACGTCTATTTGTTGTGTCTTTTTAGGGTATTCTTCCATGTCAAAAGGGTATAGGTGTTTTGATCCTGTGTCTCGTTACTTTCACCACACTTTGGATGTTACTTTTTGTGAGGATCTCCCTTTTTTTGGTACTTACCCTCCTTTGCAGGCTTCCACTCTTGTTCCTTATAATGTTCGCCCTATTCCTATTTTGGACGATATTACGAATGAGGTTGTCTTCTCTCCTTATTCTCCACCTTTGCCTCTTTCACCCCCCATTGCTGGTATATTCTCGTCGCCCTTGCTCTCAGCTTCCCCCTATTGCCTCTCTGGTCTTTGGGTCAGGTACTTCTTCTCTTTTATATACATCCCCTCCACCTCCTTGTCATAATCCCCCTCAGGATTGACATCCTCTAAACCGTTGGGTTATTTGAGTAGTACTAATCATCCCATTTCCCAATATCTTTCATATGGCAGGGTCTCCTCTACCTATTGCTCTATTCTTAGCAAGCTTGAATTCGAGGCCATTCCTCGTTCTGTGTTAGAGGCCCTTCAAAATCCAAAATGGGTAGAGGCTATGCAGGTTAAGATAACAGCTTTAGAATAGAATCACACTTGGGATCTGGTTCCTTTAGCTTCTGGCGAGAGTACTGTGGGTTGGAAATGGGTATTCATTATTAAGTATCTAGCTGATGGCTCCGTTGACCGTTACAAAGCCCACTTGGTGGCTAAGGGCTTCACCCAGGTTCTTGGCAAGGATTTTGGAGCCACTTTTGCACCTATTGCCAGGCTTATCTCAGTTCATTTTCTCATCTCTCTTGCAACATCTCATTCTTGGTCTCTTTATCAGCTTGATGTCAAGATTGCCTTTCTTCATGGGGATCTTCTTGAGACAATTTATATGGCACCTCCCCTTCGTTTTCAGGCTGAGGGAGAGTATTCAGGAAAAGTGTGTCGATTGCGCAAGTCTTTGTATGGCTTGAAATAGTCTACACGAGCTTGGTTTGGTCATTTCAGTTTTGTCATCATCTCCATAGGTCGTTCTGTGTTAGAGGCCCTTCAAAATCCAAAATGGGTAGAGGCTATGCAGGTTAAGATAACAGCTTTAGAATAGAATCACACTTGGGATCTGGTTCCTTTAGCTTCTGGCGAGAGTACTGTGGGTTGGAAATGGGTATTCATTATTAAGTATCTAGCTGATGGCTCCGTTGACCGTTACAAAGCCCACTTGGTGGCTAAGGGCTTCACCCAGGTTCTTGGCAAGGATTTTGGAGCCACTTTTGCACCTATTGCCAGGCTTATCTCAGTTCATTTTCTCATCTCTCTTGCAACATCTCATTCTTGGTCTCTTTATCAGCTTGATGTCAAGATTGCCTTTCTTCATGGGGATCTTCTTGAGACAATTTATATGGCACCTCCTCTTAGTTTTCAGGCTGAGGGAGAGTATTCAGGAAAAGTGTGTCGATTGCGCAAGTCTTTGTATGGCTTGAAATAGTCTCCACGAGCTTGGTTTGGTCATTTCAGTTTTGTCATCATCTCCATAGAGTTTGTTCAGTGCCACTCCGATCATACTTGCTTCATTCGTTGTAATTCAACCGGTTAGTGTAGTCTTGTTAGTTTATGTGGATGATATTATTCTCATAGGTGATGATTCTGTAGCCATTGATCAAGTAAAAAGGGATTTGGGGCATACCTTTGATATTAAGGATTTGGAGAGTCTCAAGTATTTTCTTGGGATTGAGGTGGCTCTCTCACGGTAAGGAATTTCCTTATCTCAGAGAAAGTACACTCTTGACTTACTTCAAGATACTAGTATGTTAGGGTGTAAACCTACTTATGCTTCTATGGATTCCAATGTTAAGCTCACATCAAAGTCTGGCGAGTTATTAGAGGACCCAGGCATGTATCAACGTCTTGTTGGACGTCTAATTTATTTGACCAACACTAGACCTGACTTGATATTTGTAATCAGTGTTGTTAGTCAAATCATGCACGCACCTCGTACAGATCATCTTAAAGCAGTTCATCACATTTTGAGATATTTGAAGACCCCTCCTGGCTTGGGATTATTCTTTACAGCCAATCCTTAGTCTGGGCTCTCTTGTTTCACTGATGCTGACTATGCAGGATCTAGAACTGATCGGTGTTCTACTTCTGACTTCTGTGCTTTCTATGGGAATCATCTTATATCATGGAAGAGTAAGAATCAGGAAGTTATTTCTAGATCTTCTGCAAAAGCTGAGTATCGAGCTATGACACAGGGAACATGAGAGATTTTATGGCTTTGTTCTATCCTAGCAGAGTTGGGTTTTGAGGAGACTAGTCCTGCCTCCTTATTTTGTGGCAACTAGTTTGCTATTATGTTGTCCTCTGATTCTGTCCTTTATGAGCATACTAAGCATATAGAGGTTGATATTCATTTCATTCGAGAAAAGGTTTAGACTGGTATTGTGAGTCCATCCTTTGTCTCTTCCTCTCAGCAATTAGCAGATATGTTCATAGTCTGTAGGACCAACATTACTCCAGTCGTCCATTGACAAATTGCAATTGTTAAATATCTTCTCACCAACTTGAGGGGGAGTATTGAATATGAAAATTAGAGCACATAAAATCTTTTTATTTTTAGTATTTTTTATATAATTTGTGATTGTGTCAATCACTAATTTAGTATTATTTTCTTATTTATATCGTTTCCTAAATTGTATCATGAATCTATTATATATACATGGTCTTTACCTCATTCATGGGTAAGCCAAATCATTCTTTTCATCCATTTTAATTTACAAGTTTTCTGTTCTGAATCAGGTTTTCAACAAGATGATGTTTACTCATCATCCCCAGGGCAAAGTTTGGATGGAAGTTTTAGGAAGTGTAAATTTCATCCCTCTCTCTCTCTCTCTCTCTGCTACATGTATTCATATTTCATTTTCTGTTTCTTCTTGATGCTTTTCCATGAAATTTTTTGTACTCTATACTTGGCAATTAGGAATGGCTATGTCAAGTCAGGAGTCTATAGTTTATAAAAATTTGAGCAAATTTTGGGATAGGCAGTGATGAGCACTACCTTGCACTAGAAAGGTTCAGATTTCCTCTTACGTCTAAGTCACTATTGTTGGATATCTTGATATACATTAATGGGTCTAAGTCACTATTGTTGGATATCTTGATATACATTAATGGGCCCATTTCCTAACCGCTTAAATTTTTTGGATAATTGATGACTTAACATGTTATCTGAGCTCAAGTTGAGAGATGTGTTCAAATCTCTCCGTTCGCATTTGATAGTTAGTCCCCGTTTGGTTTCTTCTTCTCTGTTTGGTTGTTTGCTTCACCTTCTTTTTGGTTCTCCATTTGTCTCTCTACGTGCAAGACGAGGTTGCACGTGAGGGAGGGTATTGGATAGCTTGATATATATTGTTGGACTCATTTCCTAATGGCTTAAACTTTTGGGATAATTGGTGACTTAACATTAAGACGTGGTTTTGGGTGTTTGCAAAGTACGATCCTGTAGCGAGGTCTCTCTCAATAGGATTAGCATAAGGCAACCTGACAAGCACGGTGCAAGATACCATTGACAAACCTCCATCTGCAGCCTCTATGCTAGAAAGTCCTAGAGTCTTGTGGTGCATGCCGGAGGACATGGTACGACTTTTGCATGGACGAAATGGTTCATGCGTTGTAACTATCACAATTAAGCCATAGGATGTGCAGTATAATCACTGTAATATTAAGATGCATGATTTGACCACCGTAGTAGTAATGTTCAAATTGAAGTCTAGGTCTTGGGCACATATGAAGGGTTGTAGGACCTTTAAATTCATTCGATTATGATAGAACACATGGACCAAATGTCTGTGCCTTAAAGGCTAACACATGTATGTCCTTTATGTCTACGTGAAAGGCATAAGTCATTGCTTGTACGTCTATGACACAAGGCCGGTTAGGAGGCATTTACAACATGTAACTGCAAATTATTCCTTTTCCCACAACAAATAAACTTCTATTTATGATATGAAAATAATGACAAGTAATTTATTTTTTACATTTATATATTGGAAAAGAGGTAATAGAAAGCCTATTATCTTGCTGTTGGAAGACTGAATTATTCATAATTGGAAGCTGTAAAGAATTTTGTTTTCAAATGCTAAAAAGCTAAAAGGAGGGATTAATATTTAGAAATCCATTCCATTTTATTTTCTTTAAACTAGTGCCAAGACCCAGTTGCAATCATGATTTGAACAAACATGATCATTATCAGAATATGGTGTAATTTTTTTTTTATTTTTTGGAATGAGAGTAAGAGTAGGGAAAGTATAGAAATTGAGAACAATTTGTACAAGATTTGATAATCCAAATTGATGTTTGTTTGGGATGATGTAAATAAGTGCACTTTTGACTTTTTACGAAAAGATGTGCAGAAAAGTAAACAGGTGGTGTGACCCAAAAAAAATAAAAAGATAAAAAGTGTGCTTATATAGCATATCCCAAACAATACTCGGTGATATAATATGCATTTTTCTTTCTTCTTTTTTTGGTCATTATTTTGTTTATTGTCTTGTTATCTTTAACAAGTAGGGTAGGTTTGATTAAGAGTTTATTGTTCCCTTGCTATTGTACATCTACTTGTTTGCTACCATACATCTACTTGCCTTACTTTTGAGGAGTTTTTCATTTTGCTCCATGTCGATGAGCAAAATCCATTTTACCTCTTTTGGTTTGGCCCCGGAGAACTTTTACCTGCTGTTGTTTAAAAATAGCCGAAAGGCCCTATGTGATTTTGGATTGAAAGGCAATGCAAACTCCATAATGGTTGGTGAAAATGACCTTAATATCCCTATGCTATTTTCTCTTTCACTCTCTTCTGTTATGCACATGATTTTTTTAACTTAATCACATATTAACCAATTAAACAACATATTAACCCAAATATCCCTAATTTTATGACATAATTTTTAGTTTAATTACATTTCTAATAATACCTATATATGTACATATGCATATATATACAGACCATACATATACATAATATACACTGTTATACTCTTTTTTCTTTTTTTTGGATAACAATTTATGTACATATACACTGTTATACATATCCATATATACCACACTTGTTTTAGGTTTTGAACAGATTGTGATTGAACGAATGGTGGGTATAAAAATCGTACACCTAGTCGATTGTGGTTGAACAAAACAGATTGTGGATGGGGATGTGTGTGTGGGGAATGAGGTGGCGAGGGATGTGGTTGGGGGGGAAAGGAGGCAGCGGGGTGCCATAGGTAGAAGGGGTAGCAGTGGGGGTTGGGAAGGGAAAGCAGATGGTAGCGGGGGAAGGGGATGGTGGAGGAGGAGGGAGGGGGTGGAGAAAGTGGCTGGATGTGACAGAGGGTGGCTGTGGTGGAGGGGGAAGAGGTAAGGGGTAATGGGCATAGTTGTCAAATCGAGATTCGTATCGTGAATCGAAATGGTCTCGTACCGAATCGCGAATCGAATCGAATCGTGAATCGTAAAGATTCGTTCACTTTTTCTAAATTACTTAAAAATATATATCTACACATTTAGATGTTAAATATATCTTATGGATATAAAATAGTTAGACTTAAATCAACAAAATCACAATCTTACCTTTTTTTTTATTTTTTAGATATTTTTTATCAACCATTCTTAATAAAGATAAAAACCAAATAGACAAACTATTAATTTCTAAAGTAACAATAGTTAACAATGATATTGATATTTGGACAATAAGCATATATACTTTTCTAAGTAAGAGTGAGCAAATAATAAGAAAGGATTATTTAGGATATTTTATTTTAAAGCCTAAAACATTTTAAAAGGTATAACTGACCTCACATATGTAATATTCAATTTAATAAAATAATAATAGATAATTCATAGTACAACTTTAATCTTAAACATCTTTAGAAGATATATTACAATTTTTTGAAGGGGAAAAAAATGAGAAGAAATGTTAAAAATATGTTAAGTCTGACTGAATCTGATTAGATCCTATAAAAAACTTCATGATCACTAAAATAACAACAAATCATATATATATGTTGATTATTTTGGTATTAAATGTTATTAGAAGTTGTATTATGTCATTTTCACTAAAAAGATGAAAAAAATGAGTCGAAAATATGTCGAACACAATAATTTTAAAAATTGCATGAATCGTAAAAAGTGAATCGAATCGTGAATCGATTGTGAATCGTGCGATTCACTAGAGATTCACTTCCAAAATAGATTCACTCATAGATTCGTATCGATTTTGCAAAAATTGCGTATCGAATCGTGAATCGAATTGCGAATCGTAAGATTCTAATAACAGAGGTAATGGGGAAGATGGTTGGGGTGGAGGGGGATGAGGATGGAGGTGGTGGTAGGTGGTGGGTGTGTCAGCGTTGAGGTTCTAAAATGGGAATAAGATGAAAAAGGGCATATTTGTCTTTTTGCTATGGAAATTGACTTTTTTTTTATACCAACTCTCAAGATTGGTGCGTATTGATTCTTTTAGTTTTGACAAAACTAATAATGGTAAGGAGGTAAAGGCCAAAACACATGAAGCCTCTTGGGCTATTTTTCAATGATACGGGGTAAAGTACTCCGGAACCAAACCACCTGGGACTAAGTGGATTATTTCCCTTAGTTTGCTGAGAAAGGTGTGCAATTTTAACCATGTGTTTCTTTTACTATTTCTGCATTTCTTTATTTTTATTGTTTTTTCCTTCTGATTTTATATGATCATAAATGTATGTGATAATTCAAAAAATGTGGTTATTCATTCAATCTTTCTGTATTACATTATTCAGGTTTTCAACAAAATGATATCAACTCATCTCCAAGGCATAGTTTAAATGGAAGTATCAGGAAGTCTAAGTCTGGTTTGTAAATTTGGCTGATTTTCCTTCTTCTTTAAATTCTCCTTAAACAATTTATAATTAATTTTCTCTACCTTCAACTATTAAATTTGTGTTTAAGTCACATTATTGTTTATCTATGTTATTTCAAATTAAATTATGTTTGATGAATGTTGAATAGCTTGATGTATATTGTTGGGCCTATTTACTAGCAGTTTAAGCCTTTGGGGACAACGGGTGATCGTAGTATTAGGCCATGAAGGTTCTGAGTTCAAGTCTTGTGGTAGACATTTGTTCTTCCATATTGTTTGTGCACTCAGTTTTTTGTGTTTGTGTAACATGTGCAGTTCATTTATTCATTTGGTACCAATCCATAGTGGGGTTGCACAATAGGGTCAGTGTTGGATAGCTTGATATATATACACTATTTGAGGTCTTATACGTGACAGTGATGAAACTTTCACTGTTCAACCTTATGCAGAGCCATATTTTCTGTTTTTATCATTCAAACCTTCTCTTACAACCTCAATCTATGTTAACCTTAATGTTCATTGTTAGATTGTGAATTCCCCAAAAGCTTAAGGTGTTAGCAAAAAAGGTCAACAATATATATATATTCTGTGTTCATTTTGCTTTCCCTCCGTCCCTAGGTTCTTGTATTGAAAATTCTCCAACAATTATGACAAGGTGGGAGGAATCAATATTTCAACAAAGACTGCTTTTTTATTGTAGTTCATGTCTTGTGGACTACACTAATACTGATATCTTTTATCTTGTTATTCTATGTGTTATGACTAGGAAATGGGTTGTTAGATTGCAAATTCCCCAAAAGCTGAAGGTGTTAGCAAAAAAGCTCAACAATATATATATATATATATATATTCTGTGTTTATTTTGCTTTCCCTCCATCCCAAGGTTCTTGTATTGAAAATTCTCTAACAATTATGACAAAGTGTGAGGAATCAATTTTTCAACAAAGACTGCTTTTCAATTGTAGTCCGTGTCCTGTGGACTACACTAAGACTGATATCTTTTATCTTGTTATTCTATGTGTTATGACTAGGAAATGGGTTTTTTTGTGCTTTGAACTAAGTTAATATAAATACAAAAGGATGAGGAAGAGAACCCAATTATGTCACTCTCTCTCCCCTTTTGTCATATATGACTCTCTTCTCTTTTTCTTGCTACTTTTTTTTCTTTTTTCTTTTCTCATTTTCTTCATTCAAATAAATATCCACTCGAATCATATTCAGCCTTAAAATTGTGGAGAATCCGCTAAGGATTGTGAATCATGCTGACATCAACACAGAACTACACTAGTTTTGGTTTGATTCTTCATGTGTAATATATTTGGGATTTTTTTTAAAGCCATTTAGTAGGTGTTTTTCATATATATTTTTTGGATTTTTTTAGCCATTTTTTGGATCTGGGTGTTGAGGCTTTTGGGTCATGTTTGGTTCCACCCAATCCACTCCAGGTGTGTCAAGTAGCTATTCTAAGGGATTTTTGGGGGTGATTTGATCTAAGGCCATGCTCTTTTTTTTTCTTGTGTGTGTGTGTCTCTAAGAAGCACAGATACGGATGCGGACATGGACATGGACACGGACACAGATGTGAACACGGGACACAATGATTTTTAAAAAAAGGGGACACAAACACGGGAGGGACATGACAATAAAATATGCTTTCATATATTTTTATTTTCTATCTAGATTAATATTACATCCACAAACAATCAATATTAACAAAAATAACTCTAATTCTATATTTTTTTAAAAAAAAAAACTTTTAAATTAACACTTACAATTTATATCTTTTTTTATGGATGATATAAGTATTTAAATCTAAGAAAAAATTAATAAACATTCACCATTCAACATTCATTAAAAGTACTAAAGAAAATGGGAGGAAAGACAACTTGGAATGTCCTTAGTGTATCCCCTAAAAATAAGTTAATTAAATAAGGGGACACGCCACATGTGTCCGCGTGTCCTCGAAGTGTCTGTGTGTCCAACACGGATATGGCATTTGTTTTGAAGTGTCGGTGTTTCATAGGTGTGTGATTTTGGAGGTTTGGCTTGGGCTCCTGGAGTATTGTGCTGCTACTTCTTGGTGTTGTCTGGTTTGTTCTTGGGTATCATTCAGCTCTGTAAAAGCATTTATTCAGTGATTTGGAGCATTTTTTGTTGAGATTTGTGCCATTATAGTGTTCAATAGTCAGGTGGAGCCTTTTTTTTGGTTGTTTTCAGTCACTTATGGAGGCATTTTGGTGTCTTTTAGCCTTTGGTTTGTTGGGTAATTGTTGATTTTTTGTTTTATTTTTATTTTTTTGAGAAATTTCAATCAGGCAATTGCAGATTGCAGTTTTCTCAGTGACTATTGTTTACTTGTATTATCTCTGTTTCGTCAACATTTTGGAGGCTAGTATACATATGACAAATCTCAATAAAAGTGACAAGATTGGTCAAAACTAGTTGAAGTGTAATTATTGTGGGGAAATTTAACATACTAGAAAGTTTTGCTAGAATTTAAACGGTGGTCTTGCCCATAGGCATGGTGGTAGCCGGAGTGACTTGTGTTCACATGCTCACATGAAGTATCATAAGAGACTCAATCAGAGTCTAGTGGTAGTGGTGTTCTTTCTACAGCAGAAATGCACACCCTCGGGTGTCTAATGACCAAACTTACTACATCTACGGTAGATGATCTACCACAGCTTCTACCTTTTTTTCCCCATCCACCTTGCTTATACAGGTGTTGCTAGAGCTCTTGGTGCATCTTCTCCTTGTACTCCTTTGATGATAGATTCTAGAGCTGGTCACCATATGACAAGCTCTTCAATATCTTCCACTCTTAGTTACTCTACGTGTTCAGGTAAGGTTAGAGTGGTTGATGGTTCTTTCTCTATAACTGGGAATGGTTTTATCCATTGTTCTCAATCTATTTCTCTTTCGTTGTTTTCCATGGTCCAAATTTTTATACTAGCCTACTTTTGGTTACTTGTCTTGCCAATTCCTTGAATTATTCTATGATGTTTTCCTTACACATTGTGTCCTTCAGGAATTGGAGACGGAAAAAACGACTGGCTGTGGTAGGGCACATGGTGGTCAATACTTTTTGGATACTAAGCATGATTCTTGCTCTTAGCTTTTGTCTTCTGGTTAGGCCCTATAGGCAGATAATGGTTCTTCTCTTCAACTGTTGCATCAGTGGTGTAGGCTCTTGGGAAATCCTTGTTTTGGCAAATGAGAAAGAAAAATCCCTAGTTTAGTGAGCATTGTCGTAGAAATAGCTTTATTTGTAATGCTTGTGAACTTGCCAAGTACAAATGCTCTTCTTACCTTCTTGCTAATCACAAAAGCCCTTCTTTCATGTTGATTCATTTTGATGTGTGGATGGCCTCCTGTATTGTTTCTACTTGTGGCTATTGTTGATTTGTAACCTTTATTGATTGTTACCTTTCTTGTTACTTGGGTTTATCTACTTAACACTAAGGCCACGTTTGCTTGGCAGATTAGGTTGGATGGAATTGTTAGTGAGAGGATGGTTAGTGAAGAGATTGTTAATGTGAGAACTGTTAGTGAGGGGATTAAGTAAAATTGTGTTTGTTTTGATGATAGTGTGGGAAATGGTTAGTGATGGGATTGTTAAATTGTTTTTATATAAAATAAATTAAAAAATTATTTCTATATTAAAAAAAAAAACTAAAACAAATATTAAAACAAACAATTGCACTTGATAAATAAAGATAAAATTGAAAAAATAAATTTTTTATATAAAATAGACTTAATCCGCTCACTATTTTTCTCTTCCCACCCAAAATTTAGCCAGGTTAATCTCTCTACTGAGGGGGATTACTAAGCCCCTCGCACTATCAATCTTCCCTCGTAAATCATCACCAAACACGATGTGGGTGAGACCCATAGCCATAGCAATCCAATCTGGTCACCCACGCCGGTAAACAAACATGACCTAAAAGTGGAGTTTTCTCATGCTTTTAGTCTTTTCATAATATGACAAGTAACCAACTTGATGCCAAAATTGAAGTCCTTTCAAGTGACTATGGCACTGAATATTTTGATGGCAATTTTTATGCTTATCTTAATGATCATGGCATTCTTCATCTGACAAGTTGTGTGGTTACCCCTGAATCCAATGGTGTTGCAGATAGAGCAGGAAATTGTCATCTCTTTGAGGTTGTTCATTCTCTCATCTTGGGGCAATGACGTATCTCATCAATTACATGCCTTTTAGTGTATGTATCCATGGTTGATATTCAAGATATGTATCCATAGTATAGGATTAATTCCCACTACAGTACCAACTGAAATTGCATTGTTAGCAAACATAAACAAACATTGCTGGAATTTTGACCTTTTTTACAGGTTGAGAGCAGTAGTGCATTTGTCATTTTTTTAAACTCTTTGGTTTTCTGAATAATTCTATTTTTAGCCTTTAGTTCTAGTGTTCTACATTAGCAGTTGCTTGGTTTAATTTCATCTTTTTTTTATACCTGCTTATGTTATATGAACTTTTCTTTCTTTGTCATCAAAATTATTCTTTCCCCTTTTGCATTCAAGTTACTACTTTTAGTAACCACATGGAATGCTACTGAATGCAGATATCTCGACTCATAGGACATCCAGTACTTCGGCTTCAACAAAGTCCATTCGTAATTCAAAAAGGGTGTTCAAGGTGCTGAATGATTATGCAAGGAAGCTTGCCGATCTTGATTTATTTACAGGAAGTCTTGAAGATTGGGTTCTTGAGAATTTACATGTTGATACTACAAATGAGGGACAACAGTCTTTCAGTTCTCCATTTACGATCGATGAATTGCGCACACTTGATTTTGCATTAGAAGGGGGGGGTTTTCAGCAGCTATTCCGTATGCCTTGCTCGCCTTTTGCTTCTGATGATCTGAAAGAAGATGAGTATCTAGCACTTGAAGATTTCCTTCACACCATGGCAGATGGCTTGTGGCGTACATTTTGGCATAAAAATGCACCATTGCCCTACTTTGTATCTTGCCCACACTATCCGGGATTCAAGTTTTATACTGTGGAAAAAGCAATATCAAGAGAAAGACTTGGAGGGCTCTGTGGTGCGGCTTTGATATCGAAAACAAAGGGCAATCTACACGTTCACTGGGATGACGTGGTTGAGTTAGCATTGTTCAGACCGAACATTTTGATGGAAAATGAATTGGGACTTTCTTCTACTGCTATTTGTGAAGCCCTCTTCTATGGCGTTCACATACTTCTCTCAAGGAGTTTGAACAAGTACAATTCTGTTACCAGTGATTCTGTTTTTCTTTTAGTTCTTGATTCTAAATTTGGTGGGGTCGTCAAACTCGGGGGTGATCTTGGCAAACTTGAGCTTAATTTGTCGAACCCAAATCAGTCTATGGTAGATTGGTTAATGTGTCACGCTGAAGTCAGTGTCTCTCAAGTGGATTGTATATGGAACAAGCTAGGAAACCCAAATTGGGGAGACTTAGGAATGCTGCAACTACTTTTGGCGACGTTTTACTCCCTTGTTCAGTGGAACGGCCCACCAAGAAAGTCAATTGCCTCACTTGCGTCAGATCACAGCCTCCGTCTTCACAAGCGAAGGATGGAGTACCACCTCTTTGAAAATAGAAGCGCTCTAGTCCCCTGTCAACAAACTCACCACCAAGGAGAAATTGTTGAACTTGACCAGAACAATAACCCGTCTTTGAGGAAGCAATCAACACATTTAAAGCTTAAGCGAGGCGATATATTACTATTAGAAGATCAGCAAGACGGGCAAAAAAGTTTTCAAATACAGGAGTTTCTCGGAGACAGAGGAATCAACTGTTCATACAGCGCTGTCGATTTAGATTATGCGAATGAGCTGTTGAATTTATATGTTGGTGCTCACCCATCAAGACTCGAGCCATCTTGGGAGGATATGAGTCTATGGTACCATGTTCAAAGGCAAACAAAAGTACTAAACATCTTCAAACAGCATGATATTTCAAAAAAGTATCTGCCGGAAATAATCGCATCGGGCCGAATTTTACATGCCGGTCCTTGTAAGAAACAGACCCCGGTGGGTTGCTGCGATCATCCTTTGTGTGGGACCCCCATACTTGTGACATATCCAGTTGGTGAGCCACTTTCATCCACAGTAGCACGAGACGGCTCATTTTCATCTGCGGAAGTGCTCCGTTGCTGCAGGGACTGCTTAGCAGCTCTGAGAAACGCAAAAACAGCCAACGTTCAGCACGGTGACATCTGTCCTGAAAACATAATATGTTTTGTAGGCACAGCTGGCAGTTTTTTGTACATTCCCATTTCGTGGGGACGTGCAGTTTTGGAAGAAAAGGACAGCCCGGGTATAAATTTGCAGTTCTCGTCAGCTCACGCACTTCAGCATGGAAAGCTGTGTCCGTCATCTGATGCAGAGAGCCTTGTTTACCTACTTTTTTTTCTTTGTGGAGGTACTAATACTATGCAGCAACTGGATTCTATTGAGTCGGCATTGCAGTGGAGACACAGATGCTGGGCAAAGCGTCTGATTCAGCAGCGATTAGGCGAGGTTTCGGCTCTGTTGAAGGCATTCGCTGATTATGTCGACAGCCTCTGTGGGACCCCGTATCCGGTTGATTATGATATTTGGCTGAAAAGACTGAACCGGGCTGTCGATGGCTCAGCAGATAAAGGGAAGCTAAATGAAGAAGTATCTGTGTTGACATTGAAGGATGTAGGTGAGTCTTCAGGAACCTCATCTATGGTATAGTTGGGAATTCCTTCATTAACCACCCTCCAAAAAAAGAAAAAAGAAAATGTTCAAACATATTTTGCTAGCCCCTTGTTGGGGTTGAGTTTTGATTGGAAAGGATGAAAATCTTTTCCTTTATTTATTTTTATTTTTAAAAATTTTGGATGAGATTCTATTTTTTTTTTGAGAACAGGATGAGATTCTATGAGCTCTTGTATTTAGTTGTCTCTTGAAACATCCCATTTTTATGTTGAAAATTTGCACAGTTAGATGTAACTGTGTTTATTTACCTCTTTTAACTGTGTTTGATATTGCGAAGTTAGGTCTAACTGTATTTTTTTTTTTGTTGCCTTTGAACCCTCCATTTTGATGTAGAAACTATGCAATTAGATGTAACTGAGCTTTAATTCCTACTTTTTACGTTTAAATTGCACGGTTAGATGTAACTGTATTTTTTGTTAGTTCAATGTTAAATCTAAGATCGACAATTAGATGTAACTATGTAAATTTTGACGTTGAAATTGCCTCTTTATTTATGTAATTTATGTAATTTAATTGATCAACAATTATATGTAATTTAATTGCCTCTTTATTTATTTGATTTTATTAGCCTTTTCAACCCCTCCTTTTCATGTTTAAATCAGTCAGTTAGATGTAACTGTGTATTTTTGTTGTTCTTACCCAATTTTCACTGAGTTGAATTGTTGTGTTAAGTCTGGTTTTGATATCGAAATTGTATGGTTAGATTTAATTGTGTATTTAATTATCGATAATTCAATTTAACTTTGTTTTATATTATCAAGTTTAATATGTCATTGTCATTGTGAAACTGAACACAATTAAATTGAACAGATGTTGTCATTCTTTGTTGACATTTTCTCAGCAATGTTTTTCATATGTAACCAATTAATGTTTTGGTCAACAACCTATTCAATTGTGTCAACGTCTCCATGATGAGGTTTTCATAAACAGGCTAAGGCTTTGTAGGTTTCAAAACACAGGGCAACTCCATACTCGTAACAAGCTCCTCTACCAAACACCGTCTACCAAAGAAATATATATATATATATATATATATGCGTGCGTGTGTGTGTGTGTGTTACAACTAGTAAAAGAAGCTTCTAAATGATCCCCACAAAATTTCTTTAAACCCTCCGCATATTAAATTTTTTTATTACAAAATATCCATTTTACCTTCACCCTTAACCTTCCACAAACCTAAACCTTAACCCTAATCCCTTCTTACTTTTTGCTACCAACTTCCATCCCTCTCTTTTGGGTACTTGGCTTTTAGCCACGTTTGTGAGTTTGTAACAAAAGTCAAAACTTAACTTTTTTGTATTTAAAGACATTTGGAAAGTTAGTTTTTAACCACTAGTGAAATTACAATTCTACTCCTCATGGATCAAAATATGCTACATAGGTGAAGAACTAAATATTTTAAATTGAATGGGGTAGTTTGGTTATTTTATTGTGATTTGACATCATAAACAAATATTAATAAAAAAAGTCAAAACTAACTTTTTACCAACTTCTCAAATCAATTGTCTAAAAAAGTCAAAAGCTTGGTTAAAAGCCAAAGTTACTTTTTACCATCTTTCCAAAACACCCCTAAGAGTGTAAAAATAGCTCGTGGGCCGCTCGCGGTCTCAGCAGGCCTGGCCAGACTAAGCCTAAGCCTGAGCCCAGTCCGAGACCCTGGGCTTGGGCCGTGTATTTTGGAACCCGACCTATGGCCCAGCTCATAGGTCTGCTCAAAACCCGGCCCGAGACCCAATGTCATTTTTTGTAGAAAAAAAATAGAATTTTGGTAGAAAAAATAGAATAAAAGGTCTGACACAAGCCCGAGCTTAGGCCCAACCCTGCCTGCCCGCCCATGGCCCGAATACCCCATGGTCCTTAGCCTAATTTTTTGGCCCATGAGCCAGGTTGACCCGAATTTTGGCGAAAGCCGCACGGCCCGACATGGGCCAGCCCTAGCCCTACCCATCAAGCATTGTGTAATTGGAGGTTAGGAATGCGTCAGACCGTGCCAAATTTACACATCTACCTGTCACCACTAGCTATATCTCCAGTGTCACCCCCAACACACATTCACAAACAAACATTGTGTGATTGCTAAAGAGAAAGAGAGGTGAAATGATGGTCCTAGAGGATATAGGGTGGTAGAGAAAAGTTGGTTTGAGCTATCAAAAGTGTGTAGGGGTAAGGAATAGTTTTTGAAAACACTAATGCTTCAAGCCTTGAGAGCTTCAAACACGAATGACGTGAATTTGTTGTCACCGATAGACCGGCCGGACGACCGGGTGAAGCACTTGTTTATTGCGGTTGTCACTTTGTCAACTGTAGCTGTCGTTTGAACGACTAGTTAAACAAATTCGAGGCAAATTCACACCTCAATATTCAAGGCATGTAGCACGACTCTTTTAAAAAGATAGAGGTTAGTTTTGGTATTATATGTGACGTGCATAGAACTTTTACAATTAAATGGTAGGGATCCAAAAATAAAATAAAAATAAAATTAGAGGGCATTTAAAACCTTTCCTACTAAAATTTTGGATAAATGTCATTTTATCACTCTACCTTTTAATGATTCTAATCAACTTCCTAAAATTAGAATGAGGTTGTGACTAGGCCCATTTCTGTAGAACTGTTTCGAAAACTAAAAGAAAATAATCACATGATAATAGTAATTGTACTTAGTTCCCATGTACTTTTACAATAATTTCGTTTTAGTCTTTAATATATATATATTTTTTTATTAAAATTTCATTTTAAGTTTTTTAATTTAATCCTTCCATCAATTTTCAAAATAACATTATAAGATTAGACTCAATTGCAATTCAATTCAAAATCTAAGAAGTTGACTTAGCCTCCGTTTGGGAAGTGGGTGGACTTTTTGACTTTTTGGCTTTTTTGACTATTTTAACCCGGGACTAAAAAACCTGGTTAGAGAAGGGTTTTTTGACTTTTTTAACTTTTTGACTTTTTGGTGAAGTGTCTTCCTGTTCATTTACCAAAGTGCCCTTATTGTTGTTGTTGTTGTTGTTTTTTTTTTTTATTATTATTATTTTCGGTTTGGATTTGGCTTTTTTTGCTAACTTTTTTTTTTCTTTTTTTTGGGTTTAGATTTGGCGTATTTTGCTTAAATTTTTTTATTTTTATATTTTGGGTTTTGTTTTGGCGTATTTTGGTAAAATATTTATTTTTTTTATTTTGGGTTTGGATTTGCCGTATTTTGCTTTGTTTTTTTATTTTTTTTTAAATTTATGTTTTTGTCATTTTTATTTTTATTTTTGTTTTTGTCATTTTTATTTATTTTTGTTTTTGTCATTTTTATTTTTGTTTTTGTCATTTATATTTTTATTTGTTTTTGTCATTTTTATTTTTGTTTTTTTTTTTGTTTTGGGTTTAGATTTGCCGTTTTTTTATTTTTTTATTTTTTTAAAATTTATTTATTTTTGTCATTTTTTTTTCTTATTTTCAGATTGGATTTGGCTTTTTTTGCTAACTTTTTTTCTTCTTTTTTTTGGGTTTGGATTTGGCGTATTTTGCTTAAATTTTTTTATTTTTTTATTTTGGGTTTTATTTTGGCATATTTTGGTAAAATATTTATTTTTTTTATTTTGGGTTTTATTTTTTTATACATTAATTAGTTCTTGTTTTTTAATTTACATTTTTTGCCTTATTTATTTTTATTGGTAAACAATAACATTTTTTTTATTTATGTGTTTCATTTATTTGTAAATTACGTGGCGAATGGTAATTTATGTTTTTATGTTTTTTTTTAATATATTTTTGATGTGTTTTATTTCAAAAATGGGTTTTAATGTGTTTTATTTATTTATAAATTACATGGCAAATGGTAATTTCTATTTTTTTTCTTTTTGGATGAGGCTTATTTTTGTCGTTCTTTTTTTTTTTTTTGAATTTACGTTTTTGTAATTTTTTAAATATTTTTGAATGAGGCGTATTTTCATGTGTTTTTTATTTTATTGTTATTTTAATTTTTTTTTCATTTTCTGTGAAATGATAAAAAGTGAGGTTTTTTTACGTTTTTGTCATTTTTTTATTTGTAATTTTTTTTAATTTGTATACATTAATTTTTTTTTTCATTTTATGTAATGACATGTATAAGCCCATAAAGGCCATGAATCACCTATGGCCCATCACTTGAAGCCCAGTGCATAACCCAACTAACGAGGTCCAGGACAGCTGGAGTCCAACATGGCATAAAGAGCCAATGACATTCAGACACATGGCAAGAGAAGGATGAACCACATTAGTAGACAATGATCTGCAAAGTTATTGCCACTGCACATCACCATTAATGCAGCCCATCACAGCATTTATTACGACAACACCTCTCCGCCGGAACAGGACCCCCTTACCCTGAGCAAGGTAAGCTACAGCATAGGCTTTCGGCAAAGAGAGCAGGTCGGAAGGGACAACGAAATGATTGCCAAAGGATATAAGCGAACGTTGTAGACAAGAAAAATGTTAAGCTTTCTATCTCTAATCTCCTCCCATATACTCTACTTCTCTTTCTAACTTGATCGTCGGAGGGTTCACTGGGGGACTACCCCGTTCCCCGTTGAACTTGTTTGCAGGGTATCCGGTGGGCTCGATCATTTAGGCTTGGGCTTGAGGAGCTTGGACCAGTTCGCTCCATTCACCGAGGATAAACTGTATCAACAGTTGGCGCCGTCTGTGGGAACGCTTTGCTCCTCGCGCCAGTTGTGTTCACTGTCGCCGGAGGCCCCGTTCCAACAACCTTTTTCTCCTACCCGTCAAAGTGCATGGTCATGACTAGATTCATGGCTTCTCACAATAATGCCGCCGACCATTAAGCCGACCCCCCCAATCCAAACAACCCACCACAGTATTTTATCGAGCTTACCAACAGCATTAACCGCATGGCCGAGCAAAACCAGGCCTTGATAAATGCTTTACTCCAAAGGAACCTTCCAATGCCTCCTCCCCCACCTCCAGATATTCCCCCCAACCAAGAAAGAGCCCCGAGCCATACTGCTCCACAACTCCATCCACCAAACTTGGAAGGTTTGCAACCTCCCCACCCACATATAAATCCACCACCACCCCCACACCCGTCGGTCGTAGCACCAGCCCCTGAAGAGGAGGCTAGCAGCGTCCAGCCTCCATTGACTGACCATGGTGACCACGTTTCCCTCTAGGACGCTGAGCTCCGCGCAATGAAGCTCCAACTCCAAGGAGTCATGCAGAATATTCAGCATAAACCCTTTACCACGGCAAATTCACCATTTGTTGCCTCCATCCGGGACAAACCCTTGCCCGCCAAGTTCAAGATGCCCACCATTGACTCCTTTGACGGTACGACGGACCCAGTCGACCATCTGGAGACCTATCGTACCTCATGATCCTCCATGCCTTCCCTGACGAGATCATGTGT